TATATATATATATATATATATATATATATATATGCATATATGTACATATACATATATATATATATATATAGATAGATCAATATCGTGACATTTTTACGCTATGAATTTTTCCCAGGATTTCAATCGAACAGAATTTGATTCGCAACAACAATTATGCACAAATGTATTGTATATTAAAGTAAGCACGTGATGTCGTTTGCTGTATATGGTAGGTAGCTGGGGAAAGCGCGTATTAACACATTGTTACGGTAAGCAATTTAGTGTGTAGTACAAGTTGTAAGAGTAATTGTTGTTGTTTAAAACATTTGTGTTTCAGTTGAATTGCATTTATTATGACATTTTGTTTGTTTGTTTGTTTGTTTGTTTATGGGGGTGAAAGATAATTTGTAGTTTCAGGAAATTTTATGTAATATTGATGGTGAGAGAATTAAAGCCGAAAATAACAAAAAAAAAAAAAAAAAAAAAAATACGAAGGTAAAAATTTTTCTTTTATATAATTATTTAGCGAATTTAGGAAAAACTAAAAAGAAAAACATTATGGATATTAAAGATCAAGAAAAAAAAAAAAAAAAAAACAAACATAAGTAAGAGCAACTATCATATCAATTTGAACAGAAATTCCCAACGGTATAGATTACTTACCTGATAGGGACTTGGTTTGCCACCTTTGCCAGTATCCTTAGGACCTTTCGTATCTTTCGAATCGGTTGGATCTGCTTGTTTCTTTTTCGATTTTTTCTCTTTGGGAGGTGACTTCGGTTTATTATTACCCCCATTGCAACAGGAGCTCTCTGAAAAGGTAAATCGCAAAGTGATTATAGGTCTCTTCAATATGACACTGTGACAAGGTGTGTCGCGATATGACAGCTTTAATAGCCTTCGATTTGATATTTGTACGCTATATCGTGGTAAATCGTTTACCGAAAAATGTACGAAGATGGAGAGTAAAATGGAATCTTGATCTTTATCGGACCGTCCATGAAAGACAGATCTCTGAGCCACATACGCATTTGAACTTAAATTTTTTGTTTACTTCATATTGCATTTCTGAAAAAATATATGCCCAGCATATATATAGCTCTCTCTCTCTCTCTCTCTCTCTCTCTCCCTCCTTCCCACCCACTTGTTTGGATAAGTAAATGAATTTAAGCTATAAACGAAAACGAGAATATTTTAATTATACCCATGATACTCATAAGTAAATGCAAGTCATCTCATGGTGTGATGACGATTAAACACGGACTTGGGTACGTTAATTGATTTGATTTTGTATACATTAGGCGAGGAAACACTTTGAAAAATGCGATACAAAAGTCTCTAGCGGATTATTGTTGTTATGACTTTTTTGTTTTTTTTTTTTTTTTCGGTAGTTTGTCGCAATACGTAAGATGTAATCATCGTTTAATCTTATGATATTCAATAATGAAAGCCTGTAAAACGAAGTTTTATGAAATTAAACCTTTTACTTACCCTGCAATAGAAAACAGAAAACATACAACAGGAAGAGTATGCTTACACCGTACAAATACGTAAAGAAACTTTCATAGTATAATACAGGCAAACGATGTGTTGTTACATCGCTTATAACATAAGCGATGCAAACCACTATCAATATGATGGCATATACCAGACTAGTTACAATAAACAATGATGTCCTATAAATTATTGAAAAAAAAAAAACAAAAAAAAAAAAAAACGAGATGAAAAAGAACAAGAAGAAGAAAAAGAAGAAGAAGAAATATACAATAACATATATAAATAATTATTTTAGTTTTGGATATTTTTCATATTAATGTATATGGTATAGATTGAAAAAGTTTAAAAAAAAATATTTTTAGTGTAAAAGAAAATGAAAAATATTTTATAATATCATTAATATAAAATAAGCTAAAATGTGCTGCATTTTCTCGTAAAAACAAGTGCTTCTGTGTGTGTGTGAATAATTTGTTTATAAAATTAATAAAATTTATTTCCATATGAAATAAAAAAAACATGCATCAGTTAATATATTTTAAATAATACACACATGGCTTGCACAGTAAACGCTTAATAAAATTAATTTTATTTTCTTTTCTTTTTTGTTTTTTTAATATATTTTTTCCCCCCCAAAAAAAAACAAAAAAAAACAATTCACTAACAACTGCAACCGTGAACTAATTTCACATTCAATGCCTCTAGTTTTCAAGCAAACTACTAAACATTTATAATAAAATGTTTCGTGCTTTTCTTAATTATATTTTGTTTCTTCTGTTTTTTTTTTTTTTTTTTTTTTTTTTTTTCCTTTTGATTATTTAAGTGGTTCGCTTTTCTTTTGCAAATGGAGAAATCATACTGTGCATTAAGGGGTTGTTTGCAGAGCATTGATTTAAAAATATAAGTTAACGTCTCTTTGTCTTCCTTCCCTATTCCACCCACCCTCAACACTCCCCGTCCACATTTAAACACATCTTTGTAAAATTTCATTTTTCTTGCTCTTCTTCTCCTCTCTCCACCCGTCCTTTTCACTTTTTCGAAAAACTTCTAAAAAAAGAAATAATGAAAAAACCAAGAATACCTTTCTATTCGTTTGAAGATATTTTTTTATGTTCATAATATTTTTTATTATCGTGATTCTAATGTAAATTCATTGCGCACAAGTTTTGCATTTCCATTGTGCATAAATTTACTTATTTTCTACTATTGTCTTCTTCAAAGCGATGCAAAGGAGCCACGTATTGCAATTTTGAAGTACGTGGTCCTATACGAAACAGAGGTATTTGAACATTTGATTAACCAGTTAACTGTGAGAACCTCTTTAGCGAGATGCCCGTATTCTCGTCGAATACACAGTATGTGTAATGTGAAATTGGATTATGAGGAAACAACTTGACAAAAATATTTTTTATATCACATTATTATTGCAAATACAAGGACGAGTGGACGGAGGGACGGATCGTAACATATATATTCATTATATACAATTAACTGAATAAACGTTAAGAATATCAATCCCTTCATGAAATGGCAGACGGAAATGTTTTTCCATCAATAGACCGACAGACGGACGGACAATGAAATAAATATATATAACTAAATCTTAGCACATTCGCCTGGACCGCTAACATGAATTAACGTCCTGCAATTGCTGTTTCTAAAGGCGGCAACATTAGATGCACCCGATAACCGCTGTTGGAGATATGTGTCCCAAAATGGAGATAATTTTTTTTTTTTTTTTTTTTATGTATAAAGATGCACGTGTTCTCGAACGATATGCATATTATATGAAACGATCCCCAGACTACGAGTATTCTTATAGGTATACAGGTAAAGGGACCTTGCACTCCTAATTTGATGCCTCTACGCAGGCCTTGTCTGCCTTGGGTTGCCTACTTACGAAGATATTTTTGTGCACATTCATTTTTACATTTTATTATCTGACAAAGAATGCTTATATTTAACGGTACAAGTTCGCGGCAATTAGCTTCAGAATTTTATTATTTTCACCAGTAATCAGTGTTAGAAACGGAAAAACTTTACCAGTCGCGAATATGTTAATTAAATACTTTCCCTTCTACTATTTTCATCAACAAATACCCTTTTGTTACAATAAACATACGAATGAACAATTACTAATTAAAGCTACCTTACGTGCTTTATGTGCTTTACATGCCTTACGTGCTTCTCTTGTACCGTAATTTACATATAAAAATGTAAAAAACATAAGTATTTGTATAGACCAAGTAAGAAAGCCATACATTAAATTATAAATTAAGCCTAATATCAATCAGTCGCTTATTAATTATGGCCGTGTCATTCAAAATCATTTTTCCTTCACTTTTTATATTGACTATAGCAAATACTTCAGGTATAAATTAAAAATTAAGATCTGGTATAGATCGCGACTTATTGATGCAAACATTTTATAATAATTAATTTCTTTTCTCGAGCTTGTCGCAGTTGAGTGGATTTTCAACTTCAAATATGATATCCATCCAATGGGAATCACAAAGGGACAATTAAATAAAAAAACGTCATTAGTAGGAAAACTCTAATTGGATTTAACCATGTATCTGTTCCATAAGTACGTGGGATACTGCTTCTCGTCAATTGTGTCAGAGTGTGAGAAAGATAAAGCGCGTTTATACGAATTTGATTTGCGGGCGATTATTTTATACAAGAGCTAAAAGTCCCGAAAAGTAAAAGTAAAGCTTTAAAGTTTTCCTATTGCTGATAATTGCTCGTTAATAGGCTCGCAATTAATCATAAAAATTTCGAAAAATTTAAATAGTCATCTAAAAGCACCTATCTTGTAACGGATGGCATTCAATCTAAGTTTTCTTAGCTTAAATAATATAAGATCAGCAGCCTATAAGCGACCAAACATTTAAATCAATCTTTTCTTTAGATTGATCGGCTTACAAAACAAAACAGCAACCGAAGAGATGTATAAAGCAGACGCCAACGGACAGACAGATCGACCAATTAGCCTATGGTCAGATAAATTAGTAGGAAAAATGCGAACCAATGAATATATATAGCGCTCGAAGAAAGGCACACGTAAGCCATCGACCGATGGATAGACTGGCGAACAGAATGGGAACGAATAAATAGATAAGACAACGATGAATAGAGGAATGGATTGAGGCTTGCATAGAGCGACATGTAAGTCTTTAAGCAGCGGACAAACGGACAAATACCCTAAAAAGCGTTAACCCGTAAACAAACTCCAAAGGAGTACACAGATAACTTACTAGCTGATGACGAACTCACGAATGCGTAGCACATGGAAAGGTTCGCGAATAAATAAAAAATTGACGAATGCGTGAGCAAATCGTTTAAAAACGATACGAACCTGATAAGCCGAATGGCTAACAATAAGACACACATATGCGAGAATATATGGAAGAAAGAAAAAAATCAGCCACGCCCATTCAACATTATAGAGTATGTAAAATTATATTTTAACTTATTTTCACTCTCTCATAGGCAAACAAGATTCGATCGTAACCGAATCTAATTTTCTTACTTGATTAAATTTAGCAAAATTATCACACAATTGATGGACATTTTAACGAGAAAAACAAGTAAAAACATTATATTGAGCCACGGTCTACCGTTAAATATTCTTCACCATCGTAAATGTATTCACGTGACGACCTTTTCACATATGGCGTTATATGGGAAATGTTCGAAAAAGGCATCAAAGGCGGAAAATCTTTTTCAATTTCGTTTGTTCTTTGGCCAAAACATGTCGATGTGCGAAATTCACATCAAGATATTTGAAAAGTTGCGATAAGTTGCAGGCTATCCTAGATCCAGAAAGTAATTCTCAATCGATGGATATAATAAAAGATGGCGCTCTCTCAAGTGCTTCTGGGTGTTTCATACAACTACGCAAAGTGAAAATATCTCAAATAATGCGGTCTACAAATTGAATACAAGGCCGGCTAAAAGACAGACAGGCGGACAACTGCACATATAAGAGGGTATAAAAAAAACCTGGGTCTATTTCAAGACCTTCTGAATGTTGCATACTTTCGTCCAAGCATAATATATCCTTGCATTGTACAGGTGATGTAGAGAATAATTAATGACCTAACCAAGCGAAATATATTACAATACTTTGCGAATACCTTTGATTTGCAGAAAGCTGACCATGAAACGCATCAAGTGCAAAACATAAAATAAATTCTATTGAATGCACCAATAGTTGAATAGCTTCAATTAACTTAATAATACCCATTTTGCTTAATGAACAACATACATACATAAATTTCTCCATTTTGTACATATATAACCTTGCAATTTAATTTGTTTCTCTGCTACGTATATACGTATTTGTTATATATAATATCAAAGAAAAGCTAAAAAGATAAAAGAAGTTCGTCCCTGTCTTTCGCCCTCATTGCATTAGCTATCCTCTTATGTAAGCTGCCTTAGTATTCTGTGAAGAACGTCAACCGCGACTATTAGCAAGAATATTTTACTATATATATTTTAAATAATAATAGATATAAACAAGTACGAAAATTATATTCGGTCCAGACCAAATCTTTTCTATCCATAGCCGTTATCCTAAAAAAAAAAAAAAACGGAAAAAAACGGAAAAAACGGAAAAAAACGGAAAAAAACGAAATTTCGTATGCTATGCTATTGGGCTGACCTGTTCCATTTATATGGTGTATGTGTTGCGTGTTATGAGTAACAAGCGAAAAGCACGGTAAGCAAAGATGTTCATAGTTCTTATTGTATAGGAGTGTGGACATCGTAGGCGTGTCCTTTGACTGGTTTGGGCAATTTCCAATTTGTTTCGCAAATTTATAGGCGATATGATCATTTTCGCCAACAGGAAAATGTTAACTGATACTGGACGTTAGGCGGAGACTTAGATGGACAGATGGAGATGTATTCCAAATTTCAAATTGACTAAGAATTTATATATTTTTTTTGGGAATTTCTGAAGCTTGCTTCTGCGTGGTAGTTTGACAGCGGTAAGATAAAATGTGCAAATCGCCCTTCTAAGTACGCAATTATTAAGAGGAGAGCGAACGGAACAACATGCATTTTTCAAAAGCCAGGGAAGGAATATCGTCTTCTTGAAAGTGATATTGATTGATAATAAAATATAACGGATTTTTTCCAGAATTTTGAATCATTTCTGAAACGCACTTACCTTCGAAAAAATTCATAAATATCATAACGCCTTTCGTTTTAAAATATTATTTATATACAATATTACTCAAGTTACGCGATTATAAAGCTTTTTGAATTTTTATCATCAATATCTTATATTTAACATCTCATAATAACAAATGGGCAAGGTTTAGCCTAATTTTGCAATGGACGCTAAAATACATCGTCATACGTACAATGTTTCTTATAACCTGCAAACCGCAACTTTCCGTCCGTCTATCATATATCGCGTTTGAATTGAAATCTCTTTCATTTTCCACGTCATAATCATCGTCTAAGTAATTCATTATCATAAATTTTAGCGTTATATCTTGAGCGTTCCAACAACAATTACACCATTAGATAGAGAGATAAATGAATAGGACATAACGGGCATTTTGATGTTACTGAGAAGCAAACATATTCACTTTATATATATTTCGTAGTTTTAAAAACGGAACGACAAAAAGGAATATTTCTCATTTCTTCATTAGGCAGGGTCTTCATTGCCAACAATATTTCAGCAATACTTCAACCCCAAAATGGAGGATAAAAGGGTAAAGAAAATAATGTACAGAACTGAATGGAATGATGCTTTGCATGCTTATGATGTTTTGCATAATAAACATTTAGTTATGTAATTATTTGATACATTACTTTATGAACATAATGCGGTCAGTTCCAGTTAAGAGCAAATGCAACGCTGACCGTCTGTATTTGTGGCGCAGACACAGCACATTTCCATGTTTTGAATAAGAGGTTTTAAGCAAAATGAAATATAATTCTTATCGTAGACGCAATTCGTTTAATGAAGAACTCTCTATGTATTATACATACATGTTATATGAATTACTTAGAAAAAAAAAAAAAGAAGGAAAAAATAAACCCTTAAACATCTCTATTTTCAAAATAAACCGCTGATATGCAAAATGAAAGAGTTACATTGTATCCGACTTGTTTACAATTATATATAGTCTTCAAGTCAAGAATAATGTCAAGGAAAAATGTTTGTTACAAGTCCTTGTCAAACAACGAATAATTCCCCATCTCTCGATTATTATAAGCCTTATAACTCGTATGGATGAGATTAAAGTATAGAATACACACATAGATCCGCAATATTATTCTTTCCCCACTCATCGCTTTAACTAATTGTGAATTCATCGTTGAATAAAGCGGCTTACAATTGCGGTTCTAAACTCTTTTTCGCAAAATATTGATCGCATTTATAACTCATATCATACACACATATTGTGTATGCATATACACAGTAAATTTCTTACAACGTGTATGCATATGCAATTTATTGTATAGGAACGTTTGTAAAAGGTTATAAGCCTTCAGAAATTAAACTATCAAGTCAATAATGGTGAATAGCAATTCTAAAGTATGATTATGTAAATCCTAGTAATAGGGCACATGTTTGCAGTATCGAGCACTTATACTCGATTCATTTATATATATATTTTTTTCTATTTATATTGTGTATAATATAGATATGAATGTTTATATGTATATTACCATAATTCAATCGGTCCTGTTATAATATTGGTTTGATATGTGCCATGAACAGTTATTCTTGCCGGTAGTAAACCACGTATATTTGGATTTGTTTTCATTGAATAAGAAACCCTAAAAATTGTTTTCAAAAGAAATAAATATATATAGAAAAAAAAAAAAAAAAAAAAAAAAAAAAAAACAACAACACCATTTACACTAAATCGAACAATTTCTCTTCAAAAGAAAGAAAACAATCATATAAGCTTTACATTATTATAATAGAATATAGCTGTAGATGTACATGTACATATAAAACTAGTAGTTACAACATATAAAGGATCGTTTAGCGTATTTAGAAACTATTGAAATACAAGTGAAACGATATCTAGGATTCACTTTTTTATATACAAAAGCAATTAAGTTCTTCTCTAGTTGGACAAGTAAAAGGAAATTATGATATATGGCAGCAACAGAAAATCCACTACATGATTATGACACAAAACAAAAAAAAAAAAAAAAAAAAAAAACAAAAACAAATGGTTAAAGTCAAGATTTTATATACATAAAAGAAATTTGAAAAACTTATACAATAGTTAGGTAAACATTTGCAATAACATTTGCCTGATCATAGGTTTACCAAGTCAGTGTTCGCGGGTTCAAATTTCGGCGCGATAGAATAAACATAACCGTAGCTAATCGTAGTAAGTGCACTCAATCAGTAAAGGTACAGCGCTCACAGTTTGAGCGAACTTGCACTAGGCGGCTAGACTAGGGGGCCACTTTCTATCTCTTTCTCTTTCCTCACTTCTTTCTTACCATAACCGTGCTGCACGTATAGGTGCACGTATAGGCTGCATAAATACGCTCCCATTGGAAGAAAACCAAAAAGTACTTTACCGTAGCTGGATTTGAATCTCGCATATATATTATAATCGAATATATCTTATGTGCAAAGCTGCCGATATATTGTGTGTGAAAAAGCCCATAATATATATATCAAATATGTGACAGACATGTTTTTAGAAGCGGCCAAGCAACATGGCTATCTATAGCTCACAAAACACACGCAATCAGATATCATGTGTTTGCTTCAGATACTTCAGGGTATAAAAGCTTCGTTAAAAGCGAATAAATTTTCTCTAAGTGAACCGATAATACAAGATTAACAACCTGTTTCCCAACATAAACTTGAAATAGAAAAATTGACATATTGCAGCGACTTGCTAGAATAAGAATTTACTAGTGGTAGTGACTAATGCATGTATGCATAAGCTTACGTAGATGGCTTTGAACAGTTATCCGATATCTATCAAGTGCATTCCGGATAAAATGGATTAAAAAAATGCACTCAATACTTCAATAATAGATTACGGCTTAGAGAGTACCGTGTCTTGAAAATTAAAATCTCTTCAATGCAATCTTACTACTAAAGCTAAGACCAAGTATGGCCTACTACGCCCTGACAATCAAATCCGCGAACACCGACTTGGCACACGCTGCTCTTATCTATTCGGGTATGCGACAGCCCCACAGTGGCCTACTACGCACTGACATTCAAATTCGCAAACACCGACTTGGCACACGCTACTCTTACATATTCGGGTATGCGACAGCCCCACAGTGGCTTAAGTGGCTTTCTCTTTGCCAACCATAGTATCGTAGTAATCGTAAATAGCATTTCGCAAACATTTTTGCTATGCATATCGATGTAAGTGCTTCAAAGACATCCTTAAGCAAACATAGCTAATTACTTTGTACACATTTGGACGGTAAAAATAAATTCACGAATTAAAAGATACCCGTCAGCATTTCTATCCTGGAAATAACTAATAATTTCTTACACATAATTTGTATATAAAAAAAGTAAATAAATTTTGAAATTTACGCATATTAGGTTCACGTGAAATAAAAAGTCGTTTGAATGGCAATAACAGTCCAGTCAAAGGGTCAACAAAGAAAACCGCATAAAAGCTGAACGCCAGCAACTTGACGTAAAACCAGAACAGCCAATAACTCTAATATGGAAATAGATCAAAAATATTAATCTAAGACTCTTTGTCTTATAGTTTATACCTCGTGACTTGGTAGCGGCAGGGACTTTAATAATAACTGGCGTGGTTGGCCACATTTATAATGCGTGCTCGATCAAAGAACGCATAATCACATCTTTCTTCTCTGATTGGTTGCAAAAAGAATGAGCAAAAATTTAAATACGTTTGGATCGTTTATGCCTCGTATCAGCTTCTTGCCTTAATTTCCATACCCTACAACATTCTTGGTGCAAGTGTACATTAAAGTCGTATGAAACATCGAAAAGGAATTGACACTGGCTCACATTTGAACATATCGAACGATTTAGAATCACTTTCTGAATCGAAACTTGTCTGTCCGTCTGTCCAACACTATATTTTATAAGGTTCAACATGCATGTCGCAATTTTCGCGATATTTTGATGTAATTTGGTACATTGACATGCTTTGGCCCAAGAATGAAGGCTACTTAAAATGATTTGAATCGAATCAGTTTTTCAACCATTTCCCATATAGCACCTTCTTTCTTAAATGAAGTTGTGCAGGGTATTTAATGGTAGACCGTGTATTACTATAGCGTTTTCGACGAGCGACGATCTTCACGAGGCTTCTGATGCATATTTCATGAATGTACTGAACAAAAATTGACTTATCACAACCAAGGATATAAAATGTTGCACTACTTCCAGTTCATTATGCTAAGAGGACGATTTCTATGTTCTTCTCGAAATGATAATTTTTCTGAGATGAAATAACGGTTTTTGCGGAAAAATACATCACATCGCTAAACTATCAGTTCTTATACATAGTCAATCATCATATATATATAGTCAAAGCCTATATAAATATTTTCTGGACTTTCCTAGTATAAGTATAACAAATATAGTTTCCTTCTTCGTTTAGCAATCGTTTATCCCAGCAGCAGCAGTAGCTTGTTTCTCGCGTTTAATAAGATAACTCAATACAATTTATAGATATTTTTAATAGTAAGTTGAACAAGAACAAAGTTAAAAGTTCCCTGAATAAATCTCAAAAGGAATGGATAAATGGCTAAAAGGACAGATCACAAAAATCAATGCATTCTTCTTCTTAATAATTGCGGATCGGGTTAATCTTAAGCTTTAAAACTTTTAATCTCTTAAAAAGTTATATATCCCCCGATATATATTAAATAAAGCTGATATATAAATCAAATAGGGACAGAGAGGTGATGTCTACCCATTTACATTTTAGCGATGAAACGTTTGCATTCAAGTGTGGAATAAACAATGATTCAGAGAAGTAATGTAGACTTTTACAAAACATATAGACGCTTTGAAATGGTAGCAATACGCTGAACAATAATAATAAATATTTGCAGAAATCATTTGATTATTATCCACATAAGTATTCGTTCTAAATACATATTTTATACGTAAGAACGTTTCTATCCATTCATGCTCACACCCAGTGGAAGGTATTACTACTATATATATATATATATATATATATAAAACAAAAAGGATTTGACCTAGTTTTGTAGCTATTATGCTAAGAGAAGCACACAGCATTAATTTAAATAGTGATTGTTATATGAAAATGAAAATGCTTTGTGTTTTAGCCACTATTCCTACGTATGTACATACGGTGCTCGTAAACATTTTATGCAAATATTATGTGACAATATTAAGAAATATGACAACATTGCGCGTGTTTATTTATTTTTTTTATTTTTTTTTAAATTAATTAAAATTTTATTTTAAAATATTGCGTTTTATTGTCTCTTACTTTTGCTCTGATTACCTTTAGGGGAGTTTTCTGATAATTATTATTATTATTATTTTTTTTTTTTTTTTTTTTTTTTTTTTTTTTTTTTTTTT